TTATTAACGAGTAAGAATAGTGCATAACTCATACTATCTTCGTTCTTCATTACTAATATTATTGTGCAACTGACAAGCTCGTGGAATGAAAACACCTGGGGTATCTTGTGTACACGTAACACGAGGATGGTGGAAAGAGGAAGTTTCCGAGAACATTGAATTATACCGTATCGAGAAGTAATAGTTTCCACCTAGACGAAAGAGTTCGCTATTGCCTCCTACAGAGTTTTAATTAAGAAAGGTACCCGAATGATTTAAGGGCGTTCATATGAATTGGTAGTGTCGAACTTAACATGAACTCACATGGACATAATATTTCAATTTGCCATGATTACAATTATACACTTCGCAATCGTGCATAGAGAAGATGCGATCCTCTGTAAATCGCGGCCAACCGAAAAATCATTGAAATTACGCATGTTGAACGACTATTTCTCGAAAACGAGTGCCACATGCCATCTCTAGATTTCAATGAAATAAAAGCGTTTTTCATGTAAATCAGTAAAATGTTTTTTTAAATCAACTTTGTGTCATTTTTTTGTAAAATATAGGAGACAAAAGTTGCCATAGTAATAATTATTTCAAACATGTTACTTTAGATTATGTGCGTTATATGAGAAAAATTTTCCACGAAATTTACTGCATGATTGCACCTAACCCATTAACCGCGTTATACGAGAATCCATTGTATTCAGTATTCGAACGTACACAGAAGACGTCTAAATTAATATTTAAGTTTAAAAAAAAATGTTCGAAAATGAATTTTTACGCGAACTTAAAGAGCATTGGTAGAGGAATTCCACTGCGCGGATTGTGGTGCATTCGTACGTGGTAGGCGGGATAATGCGAAAGAAAGGAACGGAACAGTTTGGGTCCACCCCGCGGTTCCATAGCCAATAATCTAGACGAATTAAAGTGAACGGATAATAAGCATTCGCAACGTCATTTCTATCGCCAGGCCGTCGTTTCTGGTCACCTGCATTCTGTAATACGAGATGCACATTCGCATTACGCAACTCTCGCTTACAGCGGCTCACCACACGTAGCTCCTACGCAACTGGGTTATTATTTACAACCCGCGGCACTCTTCGGCGTTATTTTTCATTTCCACGTTTCGTTTCGCCGTTTCTTCTTTTCGCCGCTATAAATCTGCTTAACGAATAGCTCGAAATAACAAGCCTGATACATTTGATCCGGCGAATTAACTCGCTCGCCGTGCATAGATTACTTACTCTGCCACGGCGTTCAATGAGAAAGTTTATGGACTGTGGAAAGTGAAACCAACTTCTTTGCTAAGCCGATAACGTGGCCATTGATGCGAAATTATACAGTGCTTCCGGGTGATCATTTATTCTGTTCTTCAGATTTAAGCCAACACAGATCAATTATTATTGTGGCATTCGACATGTACGTTCGAAACATAAAGAAATTCACACGGTTCAACTTTTAAACATTTAAAACATGATCTTCTTTATGATTTTTCTTTTACCTTGGAAATTTCATCAGGATATAAAATGTATCAGAAACATTACAATTATCTTTCGTGCACAACACAAATACGTCGTAGAAATAGTAAAAACAATTCATAGAAAATAAATGAGAAGATCGTTTTATCTACACGCATGATCTGAAGATGATCATTTTCCGTGAACCAAGTACGAGGTAATATATTAACAAGTGTTCGTACATAATCTGATTAGCCTCAAGTGAATCACTCATGATCTGAAGATTTGCTCTGAAAAAATCGTGGAACGTGTTCCTTTGAACACAAATTAGAAAAGCGAACCGCACACGCGGTATTTTGACATCCAATCACCTAAAGAAATATTACCGCCTAGAAAATGAGATAGACTCGTGGAGTAGCTACTAGCTACACGTTACAATCTGTCCGGCGTAATTTGTTTCCACCGCTAATTATCTCGTATACGTTTTCCTTATCTGTCAGAAGCGATCCTACCGCATCCTATGCTTTCAATTTGTACCGCTGCTAATAGTAACCTCTGTCGCGTGGGACCGTACTCCATAATTAGGCGAACTTTATTTGCATACGATAACTCATGCAGAGATCGCCGCTGATTAGGTTGCTCGCCACGAATTAAAATCTTGCGCACGTAACAGCAAATACCAGTCGCGGAACCCTTTGCCGTTACGTTTACATCTCTTTGCACACGACACGTGCACCGAGACTTGTACAGGTTTTACCTATCTCACCCTCGAACACAGAAACCAATAATTAACACAAATATTTCCATTTGTTACAGGTTACCACAGCTTGCCGTTTTAGCGAAGATTTTGTGCCTCCTGATGGTGAGTGTTATTTATTTTTCATTGTACTTACAAATTATGTTCATAAATTCATATTCAGAATAGTGCTTTATGAAATGGATCATATAATTAAAATAGATTTTATTTCTTTATTTTCGGAATCATAATATACTTCGATCCGTTGAATAACAAGAAATATTTCTCTGATTCAAAAAGACTGCGTGTAAATCATTATGATAATTTGCTCGACGATAAAAAGTGTCGTGCACTAAATTACATCTGTACGAGTTGATGTATATCATCGTTGGGACTATCAATATTTCTGGGATAAAAATTTCTACGATAGAAACACGAATCCCAGATGCATATACCCCTGCGTTTATGTACGTAAGAACGAGAGATATGACTGTTCCAGTTCCTCACACGAAATTACATTCAAAAAATAATTCCAGCTGCCGAGAGCTGCTTTCGCGTTACGTTCATAGTTGAAGGGAAATACTGCTGCCCCAGATACGTTGCCTTTAACGAGCCGTGTAAAATTTGAACGAGAACTTTGGCCAGGTTCGTGCGGAATCCGTAAACTTGCATACTTATTCGATACGTACTAAGTCTTTGTACAGGAGCGGGTGACTAGGTCAGATCCTAGATACTCGTTGCACGAAGAAACCGAACTATACTTGAATCGCGTGTCGAAAGTCTATCTAAAAAGTAGGACTTTGCGATTATCCTTCGTCGTATGAAGCTGTAGTTAAATTTTATGCAAACTGAGTATTGAATTGACGAAATGACCAAATTCAAATGACGTAATATCCATTTATCATGTTATCTAGATTTCAATGATTTAATCAAACTGCATTGCTTAAAATATTCTGAGTGTTCAATTGACGATAACAAGGACTTCTCCACTTCCCTTGAGGTTCTAATTATCGAGATTCAATTATTTATTTTTCAATTTGGGTTTATATTTTACACGTTCATTGTCATTCATGGTGTTCATTTTAATGGTATGTTCTTAGACTCGATTGTTAGTCAACTTTCCTGCCATTAGTACATTTCAATTTCATTGAAGTACATATGAAAGATGTTTCATTTGTTTGTTTTAAAATCACCATCCCGCCTATTTTATTATATTTTTGTGACATAGGTTTATCGTAATAGTTAGAAAAACGAGCGTTTATCTTTTGATATAGAACAGTGCAATGTGGCTACGTGGAAATGCGTTGGGTGCAACAACCTCGTTGTTAGAAAAACTGTTAACCACAGCCGTATGTTTAGCGTTTAAAGGATACGAAAGTAGCGGGTTCATAGCGGTCAGTCTTATCCTCACTTTCAACCATGATCGGTTTCCCGGAGAAATTGAAACAGTATAAGTTCCCATCGTGAGATTCGTGTGATACATAGATGCTACAGATTGAATCATTTGAAACTTTAGTTTCAATAGATTGCAAAGTATACATAGTCGATCAATTGTAATTTAATATAGTAAATGTCCTAATTTCTGTTCACGTCACAATTCCTTCTCACCGGCTTAATGTTACATAAATCATTATAGAAAAAATACCAGTGATCAGAAATTCGACATTTACTGTACAACACTTCCAATCTTTCCAATAAAAAATGAAAGTAATCTCCATTTCAATATATATTTTTTGTTTCTTTGCATAAGNGGTTTAAGATTGATAATAAAACAAAATGCTAAAAAAAAAGGCAACGAGTGTGACGTGAATTGGAACATTCACTATAATTACTCTCCAATTATGAAAATGAAACAATGGTACAGCCAGGCATTTAAAAAAAATAAAAAATGCTCCGATATAGCGGCGTTTTGAAAGGCGCTGTACCGAATGAAAATTGGTTCAGGGAGGGTGCATATCTTATGTTCTTCCATCATAATAACTATTAAAATTTGAGTAATTCTGGCCAAGTTCTTATAGGTACAAAACTATTTGTTAATTGCAGGTGGTAATGTGCGGGGCGGTACCGGCAATGGTGCGCTCCGTGAGTCTTTACTCGACTTGCAGCCTCGGCAATATTACCGTATATAGACATCAAATCCTGGCCGTGGGACGCAATGATCAGAACGCCCCTTACCGTAAGTAAGATTGTAATCAATTACATTACTTCCACAAGAGACTGATCGTTTTCCTAAATCCTTTCGCAAATCTTGTAACCAGTTTGTAAAACCTATGTTATATTATAACATAATGATTGAATTTACAGTGTTCCCTTAGAAATCGAATTCGACATGCTAATTAATGACAAACTTGAGAATCTCCTCTTTCGTGTCAATTCTTATCAATTTATTTGAAACATGCTTGTGTTTGCCGATAATTTGTATAGTTAAATATTGACAGGAAATTTTTACACAGCCCGCCCGGTGGCTTCGGTAGTTTACGATTAACCCTCGAGCTATAAACACGCTGCGATCCTTTTGACAGATGACATGCACCGGCATGAACTCTCTCCCGAAAATGATTTCGGCTGGATCGTCGAGATTTTTTAAACGCGTTCGCAGTCAGTACGAAGAACAAGCTGTCCGCCCAATCCGCGGCGCGAGTGCGAGGCGGCACCTTTTCTGACTCTCGCTATGTGAGGTAGGGGAGAAAAGGATGGTCTAATAGGAGGGAAGAAGGCTTGTGCAAACAGAGGAGCCAGTTTTCTCGCCGCACGCTGCGCCGCGTCTGCACCTCCCCGAGATCCATCACCATCGTCCACCTCTTCCTCCTTTTTCCACCTCTTCAGCCTCACGCTGCCACCGGTACTCTTGCTGCCGTTGCTGCCGCACTGCCTCCAACCTTTTCCTTCTGTTGTACATATCCGCATCTCCTTACGTTTACACCATCCTCCAGCTACACTCCCTCCGCATTTTAGCCGTGGCAACGAGCCTCTCTCGACCGAACGATTACTCAAGCTCGGCTCGCGAAATGAACCGACTCGGCTAACGCTTATGCGCGCGGGTTCAGACGCCGTGAGAACGTCCTTGAAATTGTGGATTCTACTGTAGTATGGGGTATTCGCGAATTCCTCGCGCGTCGCTAAGACTCCGAGGGATAATTAGCTTCGCGCGGAAAATTGTTTGTTTGCATATTTGTTGCTAATTAGTTGGCACAGCATCCATTTTACGATGTTGTCGCGTCGCCTAGCACGTTGGGAAATCGTGACGGCCGATGTCCGAACGGTAATTGACGTCACCGTGACGAAGTGAACGAGAATGAACCTCTCAGAGATTTCAATTTTATTTTACTCATCCGTGAAGAAAATAGCGACAGAT